ACCGGCCGGCGGCTCTGCACCGAGTGCGGCCTGCGCGTGGAGGAGAGGAGGGCCTAGGTGGTGACCAGCTGCAACTGCAAGTTCCACTGGTGCTGCACCGTGCGCTGCGAGCAGTGCCGGCAGCTGGTGGCCAAGCACTTCTGCGCCCGCCGCGAGGCCGCCGCGCCCAACCGCATCCGGAGGAGGAACAGGGGCCACAAGAGATAGAGGGTGGCCCTGGCGCCCAAGGAGGATGCTTTGGTGTCCCCCAAGCTTGGAAGCTGCTAGTGGAGCTGGGGTGAGAAAAAGCGTCCCCGGGGGCTGGAGGGCCCGGCAGGACATCCCAGCGGGGCCTCCTGGGGATGGAGGCTGTGGGATCAGGAAGCACAAGGTGCCAGCACTGGGGGACTCTGGTCCTTGCTTCCCTCAGTATTTACCAGTAGCTTCTTTCTTGTTGGGAGTCACTTTATCTGTGTATCAGACAGAGGGAAGAATTTCACTCTGTAGGTGGGCTCAACCCCTTTGTGCCACCACCAGCAGGTCCTCCGAGGCCAGTGTTGGGTTCCCAGCCCCACGGTGAGCTGGGGACAGGCAGGTCCTGCTGGGCGGCTCCATCCCGGTGGCCACAAGCACCACAGCTGGGGCAGCTCCAGCTGTTCATGCACAGGGGCTGCTCGGCAGCATTTCTCATGGAAAACTTCTGCACTTTGTGATGGGAGGGGGTTTTGCAGCACCTTGGGGTGTGCTACGATGACTGCAGCCTCCTGAGGGCTTGGAGAGGTTTACGGTCAGTGTTTACAATTTCTTTATTATTTTCTTTCTTTTTTCCTTCATCTTCTCCCCTCATCGCCCCTCCCCATTTTAACTTTTTTTGGTTTGGTATCAGAACCTCTGCACCCAGTAGGCAGTAGCTTTTTGTATTTGTACTGGATGAAATTAAGCTGTTTACAATTCCTATACTTTAAAAAAATAATAATTAGCAGGTAAGAATTCAGAATTCTTTATGCCTAATGTTTATTAATAAGTTGTATTATTGCTTAGCACAATATATTTTCTCTATATATTTTGAAGGTATCCCTAAAGAGTTAGATTTTGAACTCTATTTTGCAATAAACACCACAATGAAAAGGATTGTCTTTTTTTTTTTTCCCCTTTCTGGCTTCCTAGCAGTATAGCTTTAAGCACAAAAATGCCCCTTTCGTAAAACCAAACACTTGCAAGATTTCTCACCATGAATCCAAAAGTCACTGAAGTCAGGGAGAAGGTTGTTCTCCTTAGACCTGGATAAAAGCTGCATCCAGTGCCGAGTCCCTGAAGGGTTTGCTTTAATACCTGCTGCTGTAACATCTCCCCTTTTCCAAGTGCTGAGGAAGGCAGGTGCTGCCTGCTGAAAGTCAACTTTGCAGCTCCCAACACCGCTTCAGTTTGCCTACGGCCCCACCTCCCCCAGACAATGCCAGGCTGCCCTGCTTTGATGTGGAAAAGCATCGACAAAGCTCTCGGAGGCACGAGAGGAGCCCTTTGAACCAGGGGCAGGAGAGAAAATTTGGGGACAGTTGTGAATGTGTCTGCTGGTTCCCTGCTGCTCCCGGTGCCAACAGCCCCGGAGCCGCCGTGGGGAGGGCAGAGGGGACGGGGGCTGCCCCGGGCGGGTCCTGCTCTTCTCCTGGGCTCTCCAGGACTGTATTCCAGCCTGGATTTCTCCTGGGAGTCACAGAGCTCCGGAGGGAGCCAGGGCTGCGCCAGCACCCGCACCCACCCACAGGCAAAGGATGCTCTGCCAGGTTTGCTGTCCAGGCAGTGGAAGGAGGAGGGACAAGCGAGACAGACCAAACCCCGCACTGCAAACGCCTGGGGGCTGTTGTACCCGCGGGGCCCGGGGCTGACAGAGCAAACACAGCCTGGACACACACCCGGGAAGAATCAGGAAGCTCACGGTGTAAAACACAACAGCTAGGAAGCACACAACTCGCCACCAAGCACTTCATTTTGCAGAGCAGGCTCGTTAAAGTTGCAGCCCACCCTCTGGGGGCTTGTTCACTGCCCCTGGAGCAGCTGTTCCTAACAGGTCTGTAACTAACAGGCCACACCAACGAAGCACAAAACACCAAGATTTTTGCACAGTGTCACCACAAGAGCATTTCCAACCCACCAAAATTCAAGGCTGACCTGGAAATGATACAACCAGACAAACCAAACCCCTTTCCTGCATCTTGTGTGCACAGCACCAGAGGGTTTGCTTCTGTCTCAGCTGCTGTGGGTGCCTGGGGGGGGTGCCTGGGGGCTCAGCAGCAGCAGCCCCGTGTCTGGGCAGCCCCAGGAGCTGCCAAAATCCCACGGAGCCACACACTGAGGATACACAGAGCACAGTGGCTGCTGCTGAGCACCCACAAGAAGGAAACTGTTTCAGGCACACAAACCCTCCTGCTCTCTGCCAGCTGCAGGGTTAACACACTGCACAGGTAAGTCCTGGGAGCAGGTGTGCTCAGGACATGCTGCCCATCTCACACAGCTCTCTGCAGCACTTATCAAAGTGACATTACAACAGACAATAAGTGCCAGGTTTGTGGGTGCCCAGAGCATCAGACACCTGTTCCATGCAGGCTGTATCCCAGGGAAAGGGGCTGTGGAGAGGAGCAGAGATACCACAGCAGAGATGGATCCTTCTCCCGCTGAACCCTCCCATTCCCACCCACCTGCAGCCAGGGGCTCACCCAGCCAGCACTCATATCCACTGCATTGCATTCAAATGCTGAACATGAACAGCTCTTCCTTGGATTTGTCTAATTGCTTTTTTAAAATCCATTTACATTTCTGGCAACCAGACTATACAAAGCAACAAGCATAGCTCATGCAAAAGCCAGAGACCAAATGCAAATTGAAGCAAACTCAAGAGAAAGTTACCTACCATCCTATGATACAAATATTCCATTCTCTTGTTCTAGCTCACAGAGGTAACACTGAGTCTGAACAAATACAAAAGACAACTCTACAACTTAGACCAGCACCTTGCCAGACATATTACAATCCTGAAGAGGCTGAAGCTCCCTTATCCTCCTCTTTGTTGCTTGGATACAACAGCCATCAATTCTCACTACATTCACTACAAAACAATAGAAATTCAGGATCCTCTTAATCCATCATGGCACTGTCAGGGAGCCCCAACACCCCTGCCCACTGGCACTCACTTTCAGCAG